TCATAAGATACGCGAAATTCAGGAAGTGTATGCTTATTGACATAGCTGTATCATCTGAGAGAAACACCTCCATGAAAATTATCGAGAAATTGTCCAAATACAAGGACCCGGAAATCGAGATTTACAGGCTGTGGCGAATGAAGATTGAGACTGTACTAATAGTACCAAGAGCTCTGGTATTCGTGAGAAAAGGGATGGACAATTTTACTAATATTGTCCCAGCTAACATCAACATACAAGTTGCCCAGAAGATCGCCCTACTACGAATATCCCATATACTAAGTAAAGTGCTACCAATTAAATGACAATTCTCCAACAGGGCCTAAGGAAAATAGTTTGGACACGGCTTAACAGGATTCAAAGCAGGAAACATACGCAAATAATAATAATAATAATAATAATAATAATAATTCCTTCCATGCGTCAACTTTTTCATTAGAAATTGAGTAATTTATAATGTGAAAGTCGATGAATGGAAGGAAAAAAAGCTTTGCAAGTAGCATCTGCACAAGAGTGCCAAGAGGTCGCAAAATCCGGAATCATGGAGATGACTTAGGAATGAGATTTGAAGAAGATAACTGAATGGATGATCTTTGCAGCGCAAGACAAGAATTAAGAACAGAATCTCTCGAGTGGTCTAATGAGAGGACAGCTGACTTGTGCAGACTTGTTTACGACAACAATTGGATGCGTACAGCACTCAGCCGACATAAGTATGTGGACATACAACGCTAAGGCAAATTATGCAAGAAACATGACTTCTAACGCAAAGAGAATTGCTACGATCATCTACAACACCAGTTGTCAAGAATGAACAACTCCTGTAGGATACATATAACTTTTGTGACAAGCGCTTGGGAACTAATCGTACATCAAACATGTACGCAAATGTAGCCGTAGATGGACCCTGATAGACGTTGCAGTACCTCGAGATAATACCCTGTTGATGTCGATGTGGACAAGACTACAGAGGAGTCAAAACTTGGTAGGGAAAATTAGAGAAAGTTTCACTTCAAGTTGTCCCCTTTGTTCTTGGCGCACACTAGGCTATTTCCAGAATTCTTGCTGCTACGGAAACGTCTTTGATACCGGTTATCAATGAGGGGGCATATTCCGAGTTCATTGGGGACTCATGTTATGAGAAAAGTGTTGTGTCTTTAAGGTGCGGTAGGAGTTGAGATATGATTATCATACTTATTATAAAACCCAGGTTGTGTGTGTGTGTCTGTTCGTTTATATATTAGATCGGATTTCCTACATTTTTCAACTGATTTCAACAAAACTTCACAGGACTACGTAAAATTACGCGGCAGTGGTTCTGACAGCGCCAAAAATTGGAAAAACACAATTGTTTTTGCACGAAATCAATTTAAAAACACGATGAAGAGGCATCGCGAGAATGAAAGGGGGACAACTCATATCGAGTTATACTAATTATAAAACCCAGGTTGTGTTTGTGTGTGTGTGTGTGTGTGTGTGTGTGTGTGTGTGTGTGTGTGTGTGTGTGTGTGTGTCCGTTTAAATATGGGATCGGATTTCCTACATTTTTCAACCGATTTCAACAAAACTTCACTTTATTTTGGCAGGTAGTGTTTCTTATTGCCTTGCATACTTTTTTTTCTTTATTTTTACATTCAGAATGCTTTAAAAATTCCATTTACAAGACAATTGTTTATAATAAAGTTCTATTCAATCGATAGACTCATAACGTTTGAAAACAATGTTTTTGTTTGAGTTTGGGTTTGACCAATTCGTAAAAAAACCCCAAAACAAAACAAAAAACTAATTAAGACATGCATCTCCGTCAACCTTAAACAATAATCTTTGTCAATTTTATTTTTCAGTCTTTATGATGGTCGATACTTGATCTATCTCTTACTGTTACATCCCCGGGCAACACCGAGCTCTACTGCTAGTCATTACTAAACCGAAATATTTAAGACTTAGCAAAGATATCAAATAATATTAATAGCGATGAAAACAATTACGGAATAACATTCCCATTTGTTATTCACGCAGTCATTTAGAAATTGTCGTAACAAAGCTCGTAATATAACCTCCTGTGCAAAAAAGGAATAAAATTTCGACTGCTGGAACTACCAGGACATCTCTCTGTCCATAATTCCTGGTTTAAATCCTTGCTAGAATTCCACTAGAGAGTTTGGTAACAACGGTCAACCGAATATGGATTTGTAGCGAACCAAAATGCAAAGATCTTTCCTGAAAACGAACAAATCCAATAGTTATATGCCACAGTTATTGACTTGACGTTGTAAGAATATCTTTGATTTGAATATTCTTAAAGAATCCTTGTAGCCCTTCCAAATATGTCCGTGTGAGGATTTGGTCATAATTTACCAAGATCAGCCATGTCCAAATATGTGGAATTTTTCTAAAGACCATCGTAATTTGTCTAAAAAATTCCGTTAAATTCTGTCTCCTAAAATGGTCTAATAAAATAGGTGAAGAAAAAAGGACAAAAAATGAGAAAAGACCTCAAACAAAAAAAATTGTTTCCAAAACATTATAATAACCATTTTCCTATATGAAGCCATATCTTGGCTCATTTGCCGCCAAATTTTATACACCATTATCCAAGGTCGCTGAAGCGACTTCATCTCAAACAAAGAAGTTATCTGGAGTTACATATTTATAAACAAAAATACATAGCTCTTCTTACTTGGCCATTCATCGAAGCTGGTGATCATCAGCGGGTCAAAGGTTCTACTCTTTGACGCGTCGAGCTACGCAATTGATAACCATCAAGAAACAAATACATAGGTCCACTAATAATGAACCCTGTCTCCTGTTGTGTTAAATCTTCGATCAATGGCTGTGTACCAGCAAGAATGTGTCACAAGTGTACTGCCTACATTTAATATCTCGGTCGAATTTGGGCGAACGGGTGGAGTTAAAGCCACCAATTGGGCTTCTCATTCAGACAACACCCCCGTTTTTGTAGCCACTTGGAAAGAAGCCGTTTGATTCGGGCTGGTCTTGTAAATTGCAGGAATGTCTCTAGTAGACGAGTAACACATTTCTGAATCCTTGTTGGCAAGGCTTAACGATTACACACACACGCATGTATACTATAAAAATAATCTTTTTAGTAATTTATTTAATAGAAACATGAGAAAACCCTTAATAAATAAATTACTACATAGGATTGACACTATTTATTGGAAAAAGATGTAATAATCTGATGCTAGATACCGAGTGAGTTTCTCATACACAGAAATGGAAAAGTTGACAAAACGACAAAGGAATCGCTGAATATGAACCTCTCAATTATAAAGGTTCGACACACCGACATTTGAACCACCATAAACAGGAGCATTAAAGAAAAATGGCAGCAATTATGGAACAAAACAACAAATTACACAACATCCAATCATTCATTTGTGAAAGACAGACAAGTTTCAGAAAGATGAGGAAAGTGAAGGTTGTAATAGGCAGACTCCGTATAGGACACACATATATAACCCACCATCAACTCCTAAAAAATAAGGAACTGAAAGTATGTGTCCTATGCCAGCAATCATACACTGTTAAAAACATACTACTAAATTGCCAAAACTTTCAGCAAACTCAAAATATACCAAAAATCGGATAACTTAGAGAACCTATTTGAAAATAACATCATAAATTTAATTAAAGAAATTAAGATCTACAAGAAAATATTTAAAAAAAAAAAACTCTTTACCAAACCTGCTTACCTACCCAAATTTATAAAACTTAAAATTTCCAAGAAAAAAAAAAATCAAAATTCTCACCCGAAAACATGTTTCGGCATTAAATGATCCACCTGGATTGATGTCAAACAGACAATCAATCAATCATTTATTTGTTTCCCGTCATATCTCATCACAGAAGAATATATATATATATATATATATATATATATATATATATATATATATATATATATATATACCAAGTCCATGTCAGTGATCACAACACTGAAAAAAAAAAAATTCAAATTCATACATCGTTAAACTACACAAGATCAATAGCTTAAATAGAGATATTGTCTTCTACTAGTTGCCAAGCCATAGTGATATCACACAAAATGATAGAGCTGATTCCACAGCTAGAAAAGCATCTAATATAAAAATACATCAGACTACTTATAATCTAACATCCCATAGACGAATCTGAAATCAAGAATCAATAAATAATTTAGAGAGGAGTGGCAGAATCTATGAAACTCTTGCCAAATAATAAACTGTACAAAATTAAATCAGTTACAGGAAAATAGCATCAAAAACTCCAAACTAGAAGAGAGGAAATAATTATGTCCAGGCTCCCTTTTAGACATACCACCATAACCCATTCGTATATCCGAAGAAAAAAAAGGAATATCCTCCGGCATGTGTGGCATGCCAAGAGCCATTTACCATAAAGCACATAATGACAAAGAGCATGAATTTTAATTCAATCTGCTAAAAATACTATAAACAATAAAACTATGAGAACATTTTCAAATTACATATTCCAGTTTCTAAGAGAAATTATGTCGATTTTAAAAATATAATTTAAAGGATAACTAACAGCGGTTTACGATTTTAATAATTAAAAAAATGAATGTTTAAATCCAAGGCTTTATTTAAAAAGAAACAAAAAAACATTGGATTTCGGCATTAAATGACCAAGTGGGTTGGTATTCTGCATAACAAACGAATATAAAATATCTGTCATTTATACAGCAGCCCAGGCCTACCTACTTTCAAATTGAACAGATGTAATAAAAACAATGAGCCAAATCAGAAATGGAAAATAGTGAAAAATTTTCAAGTAAAATTGTGAAAGATTTTCAGTTCAAATTAATTGAACGGGAAGGAAATAAACAGGTTGACAAAAAAAAAGGAGAATAAATGGAATTAATAACATTTCAAGAAATGGCAGAAATGATAGGATGTTTTTTCCTAATGATTACGCGCGTTGATATATTCTGAATAGAGTGTCAAACTGGACATAATAATAGCGTTTAATACAAGAAATCAGAATAGCAAAAAAAAAAAAGAAATATTATGAAAATAGTTATCTATTTTCACATTATATATACAGAAATTGATAGACGAATAAATAAAGGATAGATAGATAGATAGATAGATAGATAGATAGATAGATAAAGAACATGTAGATATATAGATAGATAACATGAAGATAGATAGATTAGTAGTTCGATCGACAGATATATAGAGAACAGATAAATAGAAAGAAATAGTAAGCTTTGAATTCTTTTAAGAATTGTCAAAATTTCTCAGAGTATTTAATTCCAAATTCAGTCGTTTATATATATATATATATATATATATATATATATATATATATATATATATATGTATATGTATATGTATATATATATATGCGTAAATGCGAAGCTCTTCAGTAAAATGAATGGAGCACTATGGCTGCTTGGCGTTTTTTTACGTTTGTAAAAAACAATACTCTAGATCTGGCTGACTCATTCCGTTGAGTGTAGTAAAGTGAAGCCAAGTGGTTGAAACTCTGACTGACACTAAATCGATTGGGTTTCAATCCGGTCTTGAGGCATTCCATAGTCTAGTCGCACTGAGGAGCTTGATACAGGGAAACAATACTGTCTGTGAATTTTACATAGATATAGTATTTTGATTTGCACATTAAAAAAGCACTCATCGATAAAGGTAAATATTTACTTTTTTGTTTAATATATCTACGTCTACCTTTCGACTCTCGTGCAAATGAAACATAGATGAAACATAGAATAGACTTAGATAGATAGATAGTCTGGGATAAATAGATGAACAAGAACAGATAGATGAATTAGATAGATAGATAGATATAGATGATGAATATGAAAAACTGAGATAGATGGGATAGAAATAGATGAATAATAACAACAGATAGATAGATAGATAGATAGATAGATAGATAGATAGATATGATAGATAATGAAAAAGATAGATAGATAGATAGATAGATATGTAAGAACATGGGATAAATAGATGGGACAAGAACAGATAGATAGATAGATAGATAGATAGATAATAACAGACTTAGATGGATAAGAACAGTCTGGGATAAATAGACAAGAACAGATAGATAGATAGATAGATAGATAGATAGATATGACAATTGAGATAGATTGATAGATAGATAGATAGATAGATAGATAGATAGATAGATAGATAGATAGATAGATAATAACAGACTTGGATAGATGATAGATAGATAGATAGATAGATAGATAGATAGATAGATAGATAATAACAGACTTAGATAGATAGATAGATAGATAGAAAGATAGACAACAGACTTGGATAGATAGATAACAGATAGATAGAAAATTTGGCGTTACTGTGGGGAGAACGCATTGAAATAATCAGTGAAATGAAGAAAAAATCTCATCATCTTCATTGTCAGCACACTCATATTGAACGTTGTAAATCAAGTGAATGTAAATGAATATTTTCCTGATGGCCGGTTTTTAACAATCTGACAATCAGAAAATATCGCAACAGATAAATACTTGTCGTTATCTCTTGGTTCTACTTTAACTTTGCCGACTCAATGATCATTCTTATTATTAATCGAAAAACGTCAAAGATGGAATGGTGTAATCTGACCCTAAATAATCTATCACTGAAAGACGATAAAACTTTGTTAAATCTCCACTAAGCACGCTATTTATCAAAAAAAAATTATACTGCAAATATCCGATCTATTACATCGACGATTCCAGTAGACAGACACAACGCGTAATGTCTAAGAGCTCTTACGTTTATTAACCAAATTTAATTCATGTAAATGTAACAATATTGTTTTACAAGTTTTTATATAAATCCCTTCACCTCCCATATATATATATATATATATATATATATATATATATATATATATATATATCATTATTATTATTATTATTATTATTATTATTATTAAATAAGATGTTAGGTGCCGAAATTGCTTGTTCTTTTTCCGTAGTTTACAGGTGGAAAGAGATTTTAGGCAGGCAAGTTTTTGTCATAAAGTGCTCAATATCAAAAGGTAAAGATAAAGCGTTAATAGAATTAATGTTGAGAAATTATTACTTAACTGTGTGGTGTTATTTTAGTCATGCCGACTTCGAAGTTTCGTGAACGCATTGCTGTAATGCCGTCAGTCTTCAGAGCTATAGAATATATAATTACTTTAAAATTGAAAAAAATTGATTACTGCGAATTAATTTATCCATATATATATATATATATATATATATATATATATATATATATATATATATATATTTCTCCAAATATTAACTACGAGGTTCAATCTATGGTCATTTGAAATACATAGAACATTTCATTAAACTTAAAAAAAATAAGTCTAATGTTATTCAGAATAACATTTTCAGGGTAGCCATTTGCAAGGAAAATGTCAGTGATTTGCCTGAGTTCGGTAGCAAATTTACGTTTCGAACATATCACCAAATGCACTGTAGATAAGTGTTTTGATAAAGTTAATCTTCATAGACTTAGGAGCACTATATTCTGGCCAACATGTGACAGATGACTCGGTGAATTATCCAGCTCCAGTAATCCAACATTGTTAATGAATGAATGAAGGCCATGACGACTGGGTACAAATGTTCACATGAACAAATGATCCTGCACGTTGTATTGTCTTCGACTGATTGTATCTGCGTCATTCTCGAACCCTACCATCAGCCCGGAACAACATTGACTCATCAGACGATGCCAGATGCTGCCTGTCCTCCAATAAAGTGGTATATTCCGATGAATTTCTTGCTTCCTCGTGCATAGAGTATTACATTTCTCGCTCATCTTTGGTATTTGTGGATGGAACGTTGAATGGAGTGTCATGTACGTTCATAATTTCTATTAACTTTTAAGCATTTCTGCTATATTTCCTATAAAAGGAATGTGATGTTATCTCAGTAGGATTATGTTGGGCCGCATGGTGTTTAAGCTACTCAATATGCTGTCCAAGATGTTCGGTAACTCGCCTAGACAATGCGATCACTAAACACATATTGTTCTGAGGTATTTTCACAGCAAACATTCATAAATGTAACTCCCACTAGTGTTAGATGGCTCCATGCCTTGGGTAAACATTACGAATGCAATATGACTAGGTCGGTTATAAAATACAGAATAAATGATTCTTTGGATGCATTAAAGTAAATTATTAAAAATAGAAATTTCTGAAATGGAACTGAGGAATTCTAAATCGATCTAAAGAGAAATTTGATATCTAAATATTTAAAAATGTGCATTTGTATACACCAGCGTATGTGTGTGTGTACGTGTGTTTGTATGTGTAACTCCAGACCATGGTAAAATAGACTTTGCATTCAGTGTCTGTTAATGCAGAGTTGACCCCGAGGGATAATCCCCTGGCTGGATGTGAGTGGAAATAAACGATTCACCCGGTGTCAGCAGCTGTCTCGATTACCCTTGCTTCACCGTGGATATGCCCTATGACCACATAGGAATACCAGGTAAGCTTGGGTGTGCGGGTGGTGTAATAGTGTAATTGATAGCAGTACGAAATTTGAAATCGAAGTGCCGTGTTCTAATTCCAGTCTGGTTAGTTATATTCACTTACGCGCAAATGCTCTTGCAAAACGTATGAATGTATTTCTCCCCACCCACCACCACCAGTTATTGTCTAATTATTACCCCTTGTACTACTAAATCACTATTATCTCCAGAAGATTCTTACAATGTAAAACTATTTTCGGGTTTTAAATAACGTGCAAAAGGTTAGACGTAAAATTATATCTATCAATTTGCGTTGTTGGGCTAAATTACTTTTTTGTACAGCCTGTTCTATGTTTAATTTTTTTAACTCTTAAATTAAATTTGTTATAACAGATCTATAGACCGAAATATTTGAAGTGTTTGGTATTTACTAATTCTCCATCCTGAATTGTTATGACGGAATCAGCACATCGTTGTTTTTATTCACCAATTCCAGATTATAATTTCTGTTTTGGAAACGTTTAACTTGAGTCTTATTTTTTTGGAACACTTCTTTTACTTGAAGTTATTGTGTTTAGCTGCAATACTGCGTTTAGCTGCAATGCATATTTACATATGTAGGTGCCGATCTGCACATATGCGTACATATTTGAGTATGCCTGTAAAGAAATGATCACATTTATCATTATTCAGCTCATCTATTCTTACAATTGTATATAATTTGCGTGCAAATGCAAATAATTGCTACATACCCTCTTCTATCACAGTCATAGAGTCAACCACACGCGTAATATTAATTTCATTCAATGCACATATGTTGGTAGAGTGTAGTGGAGGGGGGTGTTCTACTCAGCGAGGAAGGTCGAAAACACTGGAAGGCCGTTGGACCGAGTATTAAAGCTTCCACAAAGTCACATAAGTTAATTACAGATATTATTGCTAACCAGTTCAACCGTATGTATAAGCAATTTGCTTATTTAATATGATGGTTTCTCCGCTATTGTTGGGCTGTGGCCATCTGGGACTAGCAGACGGTCTGGTTAAAATCTTTAAGCTGAATTAACATCTTCTAACAATACGAGACAATAATTATTTACCTATAAGGGACTCTTTGAAACGTTAAGAAAATATGAACTACGTGTTCTCTTGATTTAAGAGTTTTTAATCATTTCACCCCAAGAAAGGCAATATGAACACAAAGACGCAAAAGGTTACGAGGAGTGTTATGTAATAGGGAGACTTTAGAAGGAACTGCAAACCCAATCCTAAACAGAAAAAAAGGTTGAAATTCTAATCCTGTTCAAAAGGCGGTGAAGGGCTATGAACCTGGCGATAGTCGAGTCTTTTATAAAGGAGTGTTATGTAGGATATGATTTATCAATCTGTGTATCAATACTTCTCAAATTTGTCATTTTAATCATTTATCGTGGAGCACAATTGGGATTAGCCTCATTAGGTTTATTTGCTACTTAATCTAACGGACCTTTTGACCAACCTAATATTTGCTACGCGACATAAAAGAATCTCAGGTAAGATTGAAATGCTAAGTCAACACTAATTATCTGTATGTCTAGCTTACCAAACACAAACCGCTACGAAAACGCGGACATTTTAATACTAAAATGTCCTTAATAAAAAAAAAAAAACTCTATATCGCTTTAAATTATAAAATTACAGTCAAAATTGTAATGCCGAATAAAGTGTGTGATAATAATCAAATAGGATGAGGTAAAGAGTTGAAGATTATAAGGATAACATTATAGATAACGATTAATCGTTGACTTTCCAAATAGAAACGCTTCTTACGTTTGGAACACAGAGGAAATGAACGGGATCCAATTTCGTAGAAGTAGAATACTGTGTCTGACTGGTTGGTTGATTGACTTTTTTAGTGGAATATATTTAGATTTCGGCATTAAATAACACATAGCGTTTGACTCTATGGGTCAAAATGCCGAAATCCAAATATCTTGAACACAATTTCAACTAAATATATTTTGAACGCAATTGTTTGCCTTCAACTATGGATAAAATCTATTGATGGTCAATTTGATATCAAATACATTGATGGTCAATTTGATATCAAATATATTGATGGTCAATTTGATATCAAATATATTGTTGGTCAATTTGATATCAAATACATTGATGGTCAATTTGATATCAAATATATTGATGGTCAATTTGATATCAAATATATTGATGGTCAATTTGATATCAAATACATTGATGGTCAATTTGATATCAAATATATTGATGGTAATTCTACTATAAAATATATTGATGGCCATTTTGCTTCAAAGTTGTATTATTGATAATTTTACTATAAATATTTAATGTTGGTATTTTTTATAGATATGTATTATTGGTAATTTTTTACATAAAAATGTATTACTGGTATTTTAACTATAAAATATATATTTATACTTTCATAGTATAGTATTTTTCTTTTTTTGGGGGGTCACTATTTTTTTTTTTGGGGGGGTCACTATTTTTTTTTGCGTGGGTATTTGTTTAGGTGGGTCACTATTTGCCCATAGAAGATATTCTAACATGTACTACCACCTTTGGTCAGAAATTAAGAAGTGGTTCCGCGCTCCTCAAATATCCAATCTCCTTATCAGAATCCTTGCTGCTGGATTTAGTTTATCGTCATACCCAGGATTAACTGAACAGTTGGAACTAAAGATTAGAGTTTATAGGAGCATTTGCCATGGAAATAGTAAGAAGGTCGCATTAGCCATGGAAATAGTAAGAAGGTCGCATTAGCTGTATGACTTTACGACTGTGAAGAATAAATATAAAATGCAGAAAATTTAATTCCCCAGAAGACCTCGTAGAATATTTTGAACTCTATCAAGTCTTGAGAGT